TATAGTGCCATCTGTACCATCCAACACTTCCACCCATATCTAGTTGTATTGCTAACTTTGCATTTCACAGCCTCTGAAAAAAAAACAACCACCAAAGAACAACAGACATGCTTATACAGGCAAAATATTTTGAATCTCACCCCATTAGCCAACACATCTATTTAATCTATTCTAATGATTTTTACCTTATTGAAAACTACTCTTCCATAATCTACTCTATGGAAAATAGATCCAGAGATCTTCATCACAGTGAAGAGAAGTTGTAAAACCTTTTGCAAAAGAGCTCCGGCAGGCTTATACAGCTCCTGCTCCGAAGACACCGCCATCAGACCAGCTCGTGCTGCTCTGAGATCAGCTGGATTTCTTGGGAGTCCGGCAGGGCCTCCACTTTTCCTGGGTGGATAACGTGTAAGCATATTGCGTACATAAAGTGTGCATGTACATGCACAAGGAGCTCTAACATTTGCAGTGGGTCCTGTAATTATTACCTGCAGTATTTGTGAAAGAGAAGTTTCTACAGGCATTAACGGGAATAAAGATATTATCAATCCAAAACATGCTATTATGTACATGCACAAGGAGCTCTAACATTTGCAGTGGGTCCTGTAATTATTACCTGCAGTATTTGTGAAAGGGAAGTTTCTATAGGCATTAACGGGAATAAAGATATTATCAATCCAAAACATGCTGTTATGGAGTAGCATATTTGACTTCAAATATCAACAAAGGAACATCTTGATTCATCCTAAAATCATCTTTAAATATTAAGCAGTGTCAGTGACCACATCTGAGGGAGAGAAGTGAAGCACACTTCTAGCAGCACAGCGGAATTCTTTTCGCACTGGGATTAAAACACAGGGAACCTCTTGATAAACCAAAAATGTTACCTTCTTCCTTCCCTATAAAGGAAGGGAAAACAAATATTTACTTCCTGACTTACAGCAAGTTTCAGGCTGGTTTTTTGTTCGTACGGAAACTACTGGGACTTTGCCAGCAGAAAGTTTCAGAATATTTTTTTATTCTCACCTCCATTTTCAATTACACCCAGTATTAGTGAAGGGCAGGATCAGATGGCCAGAAACTACCACAACCATCCCAATCAATTTAAAGACCCAGTATATGATTAGTCTCACAGCCTTCGGATTCAGATCAAGGTGTCAGACCTTTCAGGCACTGCTTCTTTTTTCGGTTCTTTTGCCTTATACCTTAGGTATAGCATGGATTGAGATTAGAAGTTCTCTTATTTATCCTTCACAAAATAGATCCTCCTATTACTTGCTTTTCCCAACTATTACAACAATTTCATAACCAGCGGCCACAACAAACTCTGGAATTAAGGGTACAAAGCTGTGCTCTTCTTCATTATCCTCCTGGTAAGACAGCTATCTACACAACATCCTTCCAGCCAGTAAATGCTGGGCAAAGACATCAGATCGCTGGCTCCCAGCTCAAAGGGCAGCACTAGGAGTTCAGACAAAGTTTTTTTGATAAACTGGCTTTTCCCTCTTGCCCTTCCTCAAGGTGTCCTATAGCTACACCATTGTGCTACAACAAATGCGAAAGTTTCCGAGGGGAAGAGGGTTGAACAAGGGTTAACATGGTGCATTCTCCTCTTACTAAAATGATGTCATTTCCCACCCCCCCTCCCCAAAAGTATCTGTTGCTTGGTTGTTTACATACTAAACTTAATTTAAAATATATATTATAGACCTGCACGATTTAAAATTGAATGGCTTCTCATATTTGAAAACATTTATACAAATTCAATTTAAGCCTCCAGTGCTTCAGTGTTATTAAAAAGTATTTGTTTTTAGCCACAAACTTCCCATATTTTCTCCAGAAAAATAAAGACTAAGAAAACAGAAGTACTGATACATTGTAGAAATTGTCCCAATGAGTTTATAATCCAGTGTAAGTTACTCAGTACTGATAAGTAAAGGAAGTTCAACCAGACAGTTTAATCCTCCAATTTCCTGTCTTCTAATCAGCCACTGAGTCCTCTAGCTTTAAATTAGAAACATTCATGGCAATATTCAGGACAGGTGAAGGAAAAGAGTAGAAAATAACTAGGGCAAATCCTTGTAGGTAAAAGGAGGTCACATACAGAAAATGAAGATACTATAATGTGTGTATAGCCATGCACTGAATATGTATGTTCAAGTTAAATAGTTATACATGGAGTTTAGCAACTCTGAGAAAGAATGATTTTATTGAAAGCATTTATAGAGCAGTGTATGAACACACGAGAGTTACTGTATAAAACAAACCCCATTCTGCAACGGTTCACTGTTAACACTGTTTTTATAGAGGCAGGAGCAGGATAATTGGTAATACCCGTATGATTTCTGATATACAGATAATTGTAAGTAGGAAGCACAAATCGGCAAAGCCACAAATGGTTCCACAGCATGTGGGGATCACCAGGATAAACTTAGGTGAGAGAACATATATGCAAGTATGTATAGATACACTCAGGGATTTAAATAAGAAATACTACTTGTGAGTGTTTCATGCGTTGGACTATTTTAGCTTTGACAGTAACAATTAGCTTCCCATATGATGAAATTAAATATTTATTAGGTGTGCCATTACCTTTAATCTCATTTACAATGAGATTTATAGTGAAGATTCCACTAATTTTTAATAGAAGGGAATACTAGTAACATTCTGAAATTTTATTTTTTTACTGCATAAATTACCTGAGCAATTTCAGCTATTCCTTACAAAAATGGAGCACAGATGTGTGAAAGAAAAGCATTTACGAAGAGCTTAAGGGAAAAAATGATGGCGAGTTAAACACCTTTCAAGTAACAAAATGAGCAAGTCCAGTGCGACTGTCTTTAACAAATTGGGTTTTAAACTTACGGTATCTCAAGAAAATAAAGGCATATACACGGAACTATGGAGCGATAACTGGATAATAAAACTAGAAAACAATTATTTTGGAGAATGACTGAAGACCTGTGTTAGCTGTCGCATTCAATAACAGCAGTTCGCTAACTCGGACATGGAGTCCTTTGAAATGGCTCCTAACTTATTAATAAGGCCATTTTCCTCAGATGTTTCACAGAGGAAAACAGTTTGGGGTTTGAAACTCTTTGGACTGAGATAACTCAAACTATAGGGCAAAGTTGGCTCCCAGGCGCTCAGGTAAGTAAACCTGTAGTCGCTCCACTCCTCTTAACACAGCGACTCCAGGCTGATGGCAGTGTAAAACCTGAGCAGAATTTGGTCTAAGGTCTTTAGTTTTGTGTTGTCATGGAGAGTTTCCCTCCAGTTTACACCTTTGCTGCACTTGTATTTCAATAACCCTGTGCAAAGGAATTTTGCAGACAATCCCTTATTAAACATATAGAATAGTCACATCACATTGGCTTGCTAGAGCAAATAATTAAAATAATCAGCTTGAGATAAATGTTTATAAGAGTAGCACAGCTGCACATATTTGTTACAAACGCAAGACAGTACTGAAACTTTTCTATGACTAACCCTTTAGTGTCTCTATGACAGCAGTAAATTTGACAAAGAAGTGCCAATGATTAAGAAATAATGATCACATTTCCAACAAAATAAATCATCTCCTATCTTTGGCCCGCTACCCTGGTTGAAGTATTTGCTATTACATACACATTAAAGATATATAATTCCTTCTCACACAAATTTACAGCATTTTGGAGGAAGTTTTCTGCTAAAATCTCACATTACAATATAGCCAAAATAACTGCTGCTGCATTTACTTGATAAAAGCATAAGAAAAAATAGATTTGGGTGTCAAAAGATTGCCTGAAAACTGTGGTGACAGATGCAATTATTGCCAAAACGTACAAATACTGCGGGTTCTACTGGAATAGTTTGAAACATTTCTAACTGTCTCCAAGAAAGATAAATAACATTTTTCTTTTACTCTGACCTCGCACTATTTTGGCAAGTAAGATAAAATATATTAGCCATTCCATCAGATGGCTGGAGAGAAAAACTAGCTGCAATGAGGGAAACCGAATTAAAGGAGCATTAATAAAGATTATCTATGAAAGAAAATAAGGTCAAAATTAGAACTCTGCATTTTAAAGGCACCTTTCAAAAATGCAAGCTGCTTTGCCCAATGCTAAAATCCATTCATTTTCCTAATCATGCAATCACCCAATCTCCATTATCTCCAGCTAGCTATAAACATGCTATAGACTGGAGTGAAAGAGGGAGAGTGTGAGGTTGAGAGACAGAGAGAGAAAGAAAGAAAGAGAGAGAGATTACTACCCCCAGCCTTTTATAAAGCCGTTTCTTTCATTATAACAGGTCTTTTCATCAAAATGACACAGAACCTTTAAATTTGGGCATAATACTCCAGTACAGTACCCAGCTAGAGCTCAAAATGGATTTCGAACCTGCTCCAGAAAGAAAACAAACTCCCTCGTTTGACACACAAATTGTTTACGATTCATTAAAAAGCAAAATTGCATATCACAGTGCTGGCAGCTGAGTCCATATGGGTGCAAGGGGTATTCACTCATCTCTTTGTATGCTGGCAGTACCAAACCGAAGTTTAGCACTGTGCAGCTGAGATTTTGTGCAGCCAGACGATGCATGAGGTAATTTTAAAAGCTTTTCTTGTTGTTGTTGTCTTTAAAACATTAAAATCTGCTCTCTAGTTTACTTTTGATTAAAAGAATGTGGCAATTGTGATGAGGTTTAGGGGGTAAAAAGAAACAGATATCTACTTTTTGTTGTACGGTTTAGATGCACTGACTGTATGAAAAACTGCTTGTTAGTCCATCAATAATTGAAAGTTGGTATGAAAATTATTTGCAATTAACACATCTATTGTAAAGATCTTGAATTATTCATTTCAGTTAAAAATACCATCTCTTTCAGCTAGCACAACTTCTACAAAACAAGGCTATTTTAGTGGGGTGGGTTTTTTTTTTGTTCTCTTAGAAAATAAATGGTGTGACGTTCAAGTTTAAGGAGAACTTTCTGCAACGTTTAATCTAAACAACAGCATGTGTGGTTATAAAACTGTTTATTTTTAGGCAAGTGCATTACTAAATGTTTCCAGCATTATTACATATTATATTCACAGTACTAAAACATGTGTGAAATAGATGTGACTGAAATGAAACTTCCTCGGACACTTTCTACAGGGTGTAAATAACTGCTAAGTAACATTTGAGGATACTTATGAAATAGTAAACTACGGACATACCTCATCATAAAAGCAGCCGATAGACAATAAAAGAGGAGTGGTAATAAAATACACACATGGCTTAGAATAAGACAAAAAATAAATCACAGCATGCTCTAAATCTTGTGGTTAAAACAGGTACTTGAAAACTTCGCTTTGAAAATGATAACAAAGAATCAATAGCCTTATTTACAAGGGTTTAACAAGCTAGAAAAAAAAAAGTCACATGAATAATCAACAGTTTATGTGCATGCAAATACCCCTTCCCCCTCCAACTTCCCCTGGCAGAAAGTCTAATTGGAAAATCAGTACTATAAGTAAAGTGGTTAGACTTCCCTATTGCCATTAACCAAAAGCTGCATGTTACATTTCACTGGCAACCGCTGGCAAACCTCTAATAGACGGTTAAAAAAAATTAAGAGTTTAGACAAAACAAAATGGATAAACCCCGAGCCCAAACACCTTTAAATACAAGCCACATGATATACACAATGGCCACCACCAAGCTGCAGAATAAAAACCTTCCGGATCTCACTTTTAAAAGTCTTTCAAGTCCTCAGAGGTCTTAAACTTTCCAAATGATACCAAAATTGGTCCGGGGCGGCGAAGGGGAGGGAAAGCCCCCGACTTGTTTCAGCGTATCATACAATGAAAGTGATCATGCCTTGTTTTGTAATTCCACTCGCCAGTCCTTTTTTAACTGATATCTATGTGAAACGAGCTGAGGTTCACGGTCCAGTTAGGAGCGGATAATACATTCATTGTCCTGGCAGCAAACTTTTCCTCTCACTGGAAGAATTCACGCTTGCCACAAGAATAATAATTACAGAAAACTAAAAATGCGCTGCTAACGAATTAATCCCTAACGGACAACACGCTAACGAGGGCAGTAATGATTTGAGGACTCTCTTCCTCACAACAGGACTTGCATCTTCTGCCACAATGGGCTATTGTGCATCCTCCTAACTCACTATACCTCTTATAGATTCAAGATGTCAAAGGTTGTCTGGCCCGGCTGACCATGACATGCTAGTTAACTCGTTCTACGGAGCACGTTGGGACTTTTAGGGAAACTTTAATTGCGCCCAAAAGCAGCTAGAGCCAGACTCTGCGGGATCTGTAACACATGGCTCCAGGTCAGCACAGCCCGGTAACCTGTTCTAACGTAAACAGGCGGAGGGAAAAAGTTAGCTCAGGGTCTCCGAGGAAAGGCAGCACCTCGCAAAACACGCTCCTCTCACACGTGATGATTTTACACCACGACACTCCCGCACCGGTCCAGGCTTTGACAGGAAAGCAACTTGCTTTGTAACGGACTGAACTTTCCACCTCCCCTCTTTACAAAATACCGCATGGGAAAAAACGCACACGCACACGAATGCTTGAAAGCAGCAGATAAAGTAAAACAAACTGAGCGTTAAGCAGCCGACTGAGACAAGTTTCTCTGCACAAGGCGTTGCAAAACTACTTCTTTGCATAGGTTTTTTTTTTTTTTTCCCTCTTTTCCCCCTTAAGGAGAATTGAAAAAGCTTCCCTCTGGAAACTGTAGTGCACATTAACGGTCTCCTGTTACACAGGGGAAAGCACACAAGTGGGACAAGTGTGAGGCTGCTCTACTGAAGAGTGTGAAAAAAATCAAATGTTAATTTGATAAATGTGAGGTCTGGGACATTTTGTCAAAGAGGGAGGGAAAGTAGAAAAGGGAAGAAAAAAAAAGAAAAAAAAAAAAGGCAGCCCTGCTGCCAACTCACCATCCACCAAGTTCTGGCCGAGATGTCGTAGCAGAGCTGCCATTTGATGGAGCCGTCGGAGGTTTTCCCTGCCATTATGCTGTCAGCAAGCTTCATCTGATGCTAACTCACGGGAGATAAGACACCTAATTGAGAAAACATTTGCACTGGCATGTTGGGCAACATGTAGCCCGGTCCATACCATATGGAATCATGGGTAAAAAAAAAAATCTCCTTGACAATGAACCAATCTCTCACAGACCCAGTGGCAAGGTGAAGTGGAGATGAAAAGTCATCTGCTCCTAAGCACTGTCTTCTCCTCTCTCTCTCTCTCTCTCTCTCTGTCTCTCCCCCTCTCCCTCTCTCACACTCCTCTTTCCTTTTTTTTTTTTTTCTTCTAAATAAGAACCCACTGCTGAACATCAAAGAGAGGCAGTCAAAATTAGGGGCTTCATCACTCAGATGATTTTGGTCTGCAAGGTTTTTCTTTCTTTTCCTTTCCTCTCTTTTTTTGCCTTTTTAAGAAGAATAAAGAGATTTAATAGGACAAAGGCAGGTAGTGGACTGCGGAGGGAGATCGCCACAGGCTATTAGCCTAAAATTTCTGCTTGACAGATGGAACTGCTTAGAGACTATCATGCAATGTTTTGGGTGGGTTTTTTTTGTTTTTTTTTAAAAAGACTTTCAGTCTGATTCAGTATCTGTTTATCGCAGCTACTTTTCTCATGTACGTGACCGAGAGGGGGAGAAAAAAGACTGAGCAAAAATAAGAACGCTTTTTGCTTTCTTTCTCTCATAATTGTACATCTGATCATTTAAGCAGTAAAAGGCAAAGCAAAAAGTATAAACTGCTCAAGTTTATTCTTGATTCAGTGACAGCAGCTTTCTGAAGGAATCAAACGCTCTTTCATATTTTTTTCTGAGACCTTAAAGTTTTGGCTTTTTGTTCCTTCTTGATTTTAGATACCAGATCTTATTGTTCAAATGAATGACTTCTCATAGGAAGGTTCAAATGGCTGAAATGCTCCCGAAGAACAGGACAATTCCCTCCTTATATTCTTAAGACAGTTTTGCTACCATATTTTTTAAAGCTGGTTTTTAAAGTTGCACTTCCTACCACCATCAGGTGATACCCAGCAAAGCCTCACAGGGGGTTGCTTTTCCCTCCTGCAAAACTTCCCTGCAACAACCAGAATTTAGGTGTGGAATTGACACAACTCCAAAGCAGTTTGAAAAAGTTATAGAATCCTGCTATTGTCCACTATTAAAATCCTTTCCCGGAAAATACAGTAAAATATAATCAGACATTTTCCCATCTCCATTTCCCACTTCTAGTGCGCTATAAATGCAACAGAAGTATTACTTTTACAACATCTGACTATCAAACAGGCAGGGAATGCTTCCCATTTAAATCACCCTGCTGTATCACACAAGCAACGGTTGCTTCCCTGTGGCCACCACCACGTCAGGACAGGGCACTTGGATCTATACAGTGGTGCCTTCCCTCAAGTGCTTGCAAAAATGAACTTTTGAAGCTGCAAAGGGACTCTCAGGAATACACCTTAGGTCCATCGAGCTTTGGCTGATACAACTCAAAACAGCCACACTCTGCAAATCTTTTCATGATTCGGACACAAGAGGAAAACATATTAAAATATCCACTCAATTTTAAACAATATCCACTTCTGTTTGTATCAAAGAGGGGAGCTCGTGGGCGCACAATCCTCCGTTTGACTGTTTTGTGTACTAACTATTCTTTAACTATTTGGGCTATGGTAAAATGATCATACTGCGCTGCACAGATTACAGAACTGCCATTCAGTACAGGACAGAACTAACTTTCACCGAGCTCCACTAATACCTTCAGATTGCTGTGATGCGAGAGATAACAAGCAAATGATTCAGAGTAAACACAAACTGCTGATGTAACATGCAGGGGTTTGTCCTTTTTTTCGCCCCAGCCTTAAACTGGACTGCATAAAAAATACATTAGTGCATGAGCTAGGCGACTTCTTAGCATCCCGGTTTGTTTTTTTTCGCTCCAGATAGCAGGTACAATCCTACTGCCATTTACAGGAAAGGGTCTGGCTAGCATGGGAAGTGTTAAGTTTTAGTCTGAGTCCAGGGAAAAAAAACAAATCATGGACACAGTGCCAGGAACTGTCCTTGTTCTGGCTGGCCAAAGCGTTTATCGTCTTCTGTTACTGCAGGTTTGTTAACACTACCTGTCCTTTCTGTGCCTTGCTGCTTATTGAAATATCCCTCCCTCCAAATAATCACACTAAATATAAAGTAAAATACTTAAGTAACAATCAGCCTTTGAATTGGTGTCAGATTCAATTTTCTGCTGCTCTCTCGGCTCCTACCTCTCAACCCAAACAACTCACCCACCCCGCTTATTATTTATTTAGTATTTCATACCCATTGTGCTGCACGCCATTCCAGTCAAGTTCTGATAAATCTCTCTTAGGTCTGTATAGTTTTTCATCACCTAATGTACTTATACATCTACTGACAAACTCCCATGATTGCTGTATTAACCACTGCTTTCAGACTGCTTAGATCATCCTCTACCAATATAAGACTTCCCAATATTAATTATAAACACACTGAATAAATATACTGTTAGAAGAGCATACACTTTCCAGCTTATGAATGACAGAAGCATGAAACCATTTCCTTCCTGAGAGTATAGTAGTTCTGTGCAAAGAAATGAGGAGTGCTGTTAGTTAACAGCATTTTAAATTCACAACAATTAGGTGCAGTTAACTTTGCCATTGTTCTTTCTGATGCTGGGGCTGGTGGGTTCTTACCCGTAGAGCAATTATTCCTTTCATAAACGGCTGTTGTTAATAGCATTAAAACAAGATTAAATACAACATGTTAAATATTGCAATTATTGTGGAAAATAAAATTATTTGGTGAGCATAATGGGGAGCAAATCAAGCATTTAACATGATCCAGGAAATGCTACTCCAAACAATTGCATTTGTTTTATGCAATTTTTCCCCTTTGATTGCTGACAGATGCCGTTTTGGAAACAAACATCTAAGTAGTTTTCCTTCAATCAGGAAAAAAACCACACACCAGAAAATGGCTACATGTTTTGAATTTAACTCTTGTCAATCAGCATTCTGCACAACACTCCCTGTGAATAGTACTGGGACAAAACGATGCCTTCCAAAGACTAATAAGCCACAAAGATGTTTGCTTCTAAATCAGATCTGTTCCTAAGAAAGAAAACCAGCATAGACATATGTACAGACACAGCTGCAGAATAAAAATGTTTGTAATATGAGTGATATTTCAAGTTGGAAGTAAGTTAGGTGTATGTGTTTGTGGGCTACAGGAGAGGAGATTTGTTTTCCAACAGCTTTAGGCCTCAAGCAATGGGTCCAAGTACTTGCCAGTTGCTTTCTGACTTCCTGCTGGAGAAGTGGCCAAGTACCCACAAATAGTTTGCTTAATTGTTGAGAAGAGTTACTTGCTGCAGCAGAAACAGCGTGAACATCTCCCTCTCCGTCTTCCCTCGGCAGCATATTCAGATGAGGATATTGTTGCTATCAAGTGTACAAACCCAGGAACGAATGCTAAAAAAAGGCTAATAAAGTATATTAATTCAGATGACTGTATCAAGCTGGCATTTTACAGTCTACTGGAAACTGAATGCATGAGAGCATTTAGAAATGTTGGCATAGCGGGTGGTTTCTCCAAATGTTGGCTTCTACTGTTCATGTTGGTAAAAGAAACATAGCAGAACTGCAGGCAGCTCTCACTGCTAGATGTGTTTTTAGGATCTTAGTACTCTTTACTAGATCATCTATTAATTGCATGGTACTCATTACTCATTAACTCTTTATTCTTTCCACTTCCCCTATTTCTTCAGTTCCAATTGTTCAGAAGCTTTTCAGCAGATTGCAACAGTGTGATTTTAGATCTGTTCCTAATCTGGGAGGCGTTTTCCTTGGGAAGCCTGAACTTAGATGAGTTACGAAGAGGATTTCCTTATCTTGAACAGCGACAATTACTTCAAGAGCCACATGAGAGCAGGCAGTTGATTTTTGGACAGCCTCTGAACTTATGCAAAGTTGCTGACAACGAGTGTGTTCTAGCTTTTGGAAATCCTATAATCCTGGCTTCAATCAAGAGGATCTGCTGTTGCTGAAGGCGTAAACAAGGAGAGAAGTAGCATGTGACCACTGCTCCTGCACCTTGAAAGGACTCTTGAGCCAAAACGAGTGCAACAGCAAAGCTTCTGCTAGATACTCAAAATGACACACACATTTTGGATAATCATGGTGAAGGTCCTGCAGGAAAGTTGTCTTTGGACTCTGCATTTTCCCCTGTAGCTGTGTTGTGTATATTTCTCCCCACTCCCCTCTCACTCCTCTGATTTTCTTCTTGCCATCTGTATTCCCCTTTTGCCTCATCTGAAACAAGCATCAAGATCTTGTTTCTGACAGAACGGTCTGTCAATATGGAAACACACTGACATCACAGACAGTGCTGTGACTTCATGTCTGAAGGAAACAGGAGGAACAGATGAAAGGAGCGAAAGGAATGGAATGACACATGCAAACACTTAAAAAAAAAAAAAGCAAAAAATTCTTCTTTATCAATCCAAAATGTAAAGGAACATGAAACAGATTTATTTTTAAGCCTAAATATAACCAACTATTTTCTAATCTGTGGCCATAACTCAGCACATTTCAACATGCTCTTCACCCAAGAGAGGTAACTCTCCCTTAGGAGTGTGCGACAGCCAACATGACCGTCTTGAGAAAGACTAAATGGCGACTAATATCAAGCATAGTGCTCATGTCTGGGAGAACCTTTTAGAGGGAAATAAGGACTCCTGCCCCCGGACTAATCTAAACCATCTATGTAAATGCAAATTTATAGAATTAAAAATGAAAGTATTTATAAAAACTGCAAACTCGGTTTTGGTGCACCTGGATCAAAGATATTACCTCACTGAAGTGGGAGGTATAAGATGTACCCGGAAAATACTCTTATGACACAGAAGTGGAATATCACTTGACTTTTATTTTTTCTACCTAGAATGAAATATTAACAAAAGCGTCCAATTACTATTTGTATTACTAGCTTTTTTTTTCTTTTGTATACGAATTTGGGAAGAGTTAGA